CCCATCTCTTTCAGAATTTTCCACAGTTTATTGTGATCCACACAGTCAAAGGCTTTGGCATAGTCAATAAAGCAGAAATAGATGTTTTTCTGGAACTCTCTTGCTTTTTCAATGATCCAGCAGATGTTGGCAATTTGATCTCTGGTTCCTCTGCCTTTTCTAAAACCAGCTTGAACATCTGGAAGTTCACAGTTCACGTATTGCTGAAGCCTGACTTGGAGAATTTTGAGCATTACTTTACTAGCATGTGAGATGAATGCAATTGTGTGATAGTTTGAGTATTCTTTGGCTTTGCCTTTCTTTAGGATTGGAATGAAAACTGCTCCTCTTTAACTTTGTACAAAATAAACATGTGTGATGTCTGAAAAGCAAAATATTCCTTAAATACTTCAAATTACAAAATAAATATAGTTCCATACTATGATATGCTTTCTGTATCACTTTTGTCACCTTTGCATAAGGGAGTGTCTCATAGCTCATCAATATAAAACAGTTTATTGTGTTTCAAAAATGTCAAGTGATGCTAAATTTTAATGATAATGGCAAACCTGCCTGGAGAACAATGCCAGATCTTTAGGTTTGAGTAAATCAATACATGATGTGTATTTATACTAGTACTCTTTTCTGTGGAGGGCAAAAATAAAATCCCAAACTAAGGCTGCACATATTGGAAGCACATCTCAGACGCGTTTAAGGTGTGTTTCACTCCTTTCTACTCTTCTCTATGAATACTTAAATAGTATATATTATTATATGTAGATAATCTTATATACTTTTTTACCAAGTTTGGCATTTAACTTAGAATGAGTTATTGAACACTGCAAATAAATCAGAACTTTTAAGAATTTACAGTAAGATTAAGGCTGAATAAGATTTAGTGGTACTCTTGCATGGCTTTTGAGTAAAACTTATAGCTTAAAAACCATGTAGAATTATGAACAGGAAGAAACTGTATTTTAATATGCCCTCAACTGACATAATAACTTTTCATATGCAGCAGGGTTTATAACTTGTATTCAAATATTCAGTATTTGTGCCAGCTATCTGACTGTGCAGAGAAGTCAGAAGGTATACACACTGGCCACCAAACAGACCATACCATAATTCTGCTTTTGAAAATTACAATGTTATTTACTCTCTCAAATATTTAAGATTTGAGCAGCAGACATAAATCACACTCTGTCCTGCTATTTTGCTATTTGGTACCTAGATTTTCCATTTTACGTAACATGACTTGAACATATATAATTATTTGGAAAGTATTGATATTATACTGAAAAAAGAACTGAGATAATAAGATTTACTGTAGTCAATAGGGAAATATTAGGAAAATGAGAAATTCAAAGTAAGTGAAGCCATATGTTAAGTGAAATATCCTTTGAGTTATCTGTGGACAACAAAGGAATTTACTTCCATTACTATGAAATCTGTCTGAAAATACAAAAGTAATAATAATAAATACTTATATTTATTTTTAAGTTCTCAACACATAATCATTTTTTAAGTGCTTAACACATAATTCATTTTAATTTTCACAAAGGAGATTTGACATCTGTATATTAGTTGTTTACTTTTAAGTATTTAGCTTCAAAATTTTCTCTCTGTTGCAGCTCGAAAAGCCAAAAACACAGTGGGTACCATCATGATTTACAGATTGATCTCACAACCTCAGTGATTCTCCTGCTTGCTGGCCTCACAAACAAACCGTTGTGGGAAGAAGTATTCCTTCCTACAGAAGAGAAACTGATGCTCAGAGAAACCAAAGGAACATTAAGAAATGACGAAGCTTATCTAAAAATTATGATATGGCTAAATCAAAACCCTGTGGTATTCAATTTTATTCAAAGACAGAAATTTTAGTATATTTGAAAGAATGAGACTCTGTATAGCTACAGTTGTTGAACTTCAAAACAAGGCTAATTGGAACAGGAAAGGATCTAGCCAAAGGCAAATTAAAGGTAAGGGTTTGGCTGGATGAAGGCTGTCCTCAGTGGAAAGAGGAAATCCAACCTTCCTGGTCTAAGTAAGCTTAGAGGTATAATCACAAAATACAGGAACCAGGTGATGGACTTATGAACTCAATACTGTAGATTAGTTAATGGAGACTCCTTGAATACAAAGGAAGGGTAAGTTTAGAACAAAGAAATACTACTTCATACAGCAAATAGTAGAGGCATAGAACACATTATCTAAAGATAGAAAGATAGAAAATTAAAATATAATTTAAATGTATTTATTTGTTAGACAGTAAAGTGGTACAAAGAGAATATCTAACTTAACTTTCTATCCCCAATATCCAGCCGTGACATTCAAATATTTAAGAAATGATGAGTACAAGAAAATGAACATTTGGATAGAT